GCAAGGGGTGGGCGACAGGGCAGGACAGGTTGAACGTCGGCGCCTGAGGAAAGTCGGGGCACGCCAGCTGCACCTGCGGGGCCTGGCAAGTGAGGTTGGGCGCCACGAGTCTCGGGCACGAGAGGTCCGGGGCTGGGCACGACAGCGCAGGACAGACCAGCCTGCAGTCGGGGCACGACGGCACGGCCTGTGAGAAGGCCAGGTACTGGGCGAACAGCTCGGCGCCCCTCCACAATCCAGCCCGGATATCACGCGCGGGAAAGATCTGCCCAGGATCCGTGGGGCCGGGAAGCACGCACGGCGAGAGGCATTTGCCGCTAAAAATCTTGAGCAATATATGCAATGGAAAGAATCGGCATCTCCGTGCCACTAATCACTCAAGAGCTAGCTCCACACATTACCTTGTTGGAATATTTGTTGGATTTGTTAAAAAAATGTTTCGTCGAAAATCCCCCTGTAGGGGGACAGGCCCGACATAATACTTCTGTCACTCCTCCCCTCCCTCCTCTCCCAGCGCCCTCCCTCCCCTGCACGACCCCGTGCTTGGCGACAAGGTACAAAACATGCTCCTCCTCGTGCGGAGTGGCCGCCCCCATCCTCCTCCTCCCCCTCCTCCTCCTGCCCCTCCTCGTCCTCCTCCTCCTCCGCCTCCTCCTCCTCCTGCCTCTCCTCCTCCTCCTCCTCCTTCTCCTCCTCCTCTGTTGGCTACGCCCGACCAGCGCCGTGAAAGATCGAAGGTCGACGAAACAAGGAGGAACATCGAACAATGAAGATTGAGAGGAAGCTGAGGAGGAGAAGTATGTTCGCAGGAGGAAAAATAGGAAGAGAGGGAGGAGGAGGAGGAGGAGGAGGAGGAGGAGGAGAAGGAGGAGGCGCAGGAGGAGGATGAGTAAGACGAGGGGGAGGAGGAGGAGTAGGAAAGGGGGGGAGTAGGAGGAGAACGGGGAGGAGGGGGAGCGGGGGATCCAGGGGCCAATGTGGTACATGCTAAGCACACCTTTCCGGGTGGGCAAGGGATTTCGATCAGAGCCAACTTGGTACACGCTGAGCGGGGTCGATTTGACAAGCGTCATGACACGCTAAGCCGCGCCTAGCGCACCATACACAAGCACATGACACATGCTAATACCATACAAACATACCAATTACGCATGGCCACCGAACAATAGCGCCGCTCACGTTCGCCTTGAACATGTGCAGCAATGTCACGGATGGAAGGCGGACCCCTTTCAAAATGTCGCTCTCGCCTTAGTGCCACGCGCATTCGTTTTAACAAATCTAGCAGTATCACGGGGGGAGGGCTGTTCCTTTCTCAACGTGTGACTCTCGCTTGACCGCCGCTCACATTCGTCGTAAAAAAATGCGCCGACTTCAAAAGGTGGCTCCCGCCATAGCGCGGCGCCAAATTGTCTTTAAACTGTTCAGCAGCATCAAGGAGTAAGGCAAATATTTTATAATATGTGTCTCTCGCCTTAGCGTCGCGCGCAATCGTCGTAAACGTTTGCAGCCGATCCCGGGATTCCGATGGTCGAAGTCCCAGGAACGGTGGTCTGGCACGACTTGGGATTGCCAGAACGCAACAGTATGCTGATTCGCTGCGTCGAGGTCCCAGGATTGGTCACCTGGCACGATTTAGGCTTGCCCGGACGCAACTGTCACGCTGGTCCGTGGCGCTGGAGTCTCAGCAACGGAACTGGGGTACGATTGAGGATTCTCAGACGGTTGTCTTTTCATGAAGATGCACTCTTTCAGGGACCTGTGAGATAGAGAACTTGGAGGGAGGGTGGTTGGTGCGCCTTGGGTTTACACTGGTCTTCGTCCTCCTCCTGATTCTTTTCCTCCTCTCCCTCCTCCTCTCCCTCCTCCTCTCCGCGGATCGAGAAAATCAGCGCCATGGTAAGGGATGGGAGGGAGGGGTAGGACGTCAGATATGACGCGAGCGCACCTAGCTTGTCTCCCTCCCCCTCCTCCTCCTCCTCCTCCTCCTCCTCCTCCTCCTCCTCCTCCTCCTCCTCCTCCCCCTCCTCCCCGCAGGAGCCCACGGACGTGGCGACGGCTGCGCAGCCCGGCAGCCCCGCAGGGAGGGCGCCTCGCCCACGAGGCCGTCGCCGCAGAGCCCGGCGGCGTCGGAGCGCCGGGCCTCCTCGGCGCCTCCGCCCTCCTCGACGCCGCCAGGGGCCGCTGCGGCCTGAGACATCGGCCTGCCGCGGGAGCCGCCCCGCGGCGCCCGCCCTGCCGGGGGGGGCACCCGGGGGGGGCCCCGGGGGGGGGGGGGGGTCGAGCGGCAGGGCTCCGCGGCCGAGGGCGGCGGAGCCCGAGCGGCTGCGGCCGAGGCCGAGGCGGGCGCGAGGGAAGCCCGTGGAGCTGGCCCCCTCAGGGGGGCCACAGTGCGAACCCTACCCCTACCCCCCCACGATGTCTGAGGGGGAGGGTGGGGTTCACTTCGTCCGGGAGCTCCCGAGCGGAGTGGACCCCACCCTCTTCCTAAAGAAATCGTGGGGGGTCGGGGTAGGGTTCGCATCATGTGGCCCCCTGCCCGTAGAATCCTGAGAGAGCTTGCGGCGGACTTTGCAGCTCTGGCCAGAACTCCCGCCCCATCATCGCGGACGCGGCGCGTAGACGAACAGACGCACCCGATCTGCCATGCGGGTATCGGTCCAAATTCGATCAAATGGTGTCATTACCCTTCCACGAAAGAACCGCTTACTTAGTCCGCGCCTCCTGCCAGGCGTGTACTGTGGACCCTTGCTCTGGCGAGATCCCACCTTGCTGGCATCAGCTCTTTCTGTCGACATCAACGTCGCAAGTCAGCGATCAACTTGCGAAAACACGTTTGGTACAACTTGCGTAAGCTCGGTACTGCTCATCGATGCTTCCGATGCTTGATGCGCCCTGCAAAAGTGCTCCGCCGGCGTAATTACTGCAAGGGCCGAGTACAGGATGAGAATGAAGAGGAGGAGAGGGAGGAGGAGGAGGAGGAGGAGGAGGAGGAGGAGGAGGAGGAGGAGGAGGAGGAGGAGGCGGAGGAGGAGGAGGAGGAGGAGGAGGCAGAGAAAGAGGGAAACAACGAAGAGGGAGGGGGGCAGGACGAGAAGGAGGACTGAAGAGGATTGAGGCGGATGGGCTGGAGGGGGTCATGAAGGAGCGGGAGGATGATCTTGAGGTGAACGAGCAGGAGGCAAAAGGATGAGGCAGGACGGCGGGAAGCGAGGATGGCGGGATGCTCGATTGCCCCTCCCACCCCCGTCGGACGACTGGGTGGCTGTGTTGACAGCAAGGTCTCGTCGAAAAGGGCAGCCTGATTGTCATAGCAGCTAGCATCGCTGGCGTTCAATCGCCGTGAACGGTCATGGGAGATCGAGGTGCCTCCCCCCAACGAAGAATCTGAGGATGAGGAACGAGGAACGAGGACGGACGTAAGAGGTGCACGTCGGTCGGCATAAGTAGTTTAAAACTGGAAGTAGGAAGGCGGATGAAGTAGATTGGGCTCAGGCCCTCCCAGAGAGTGACCACAGATGTCAAACTCAAACCGCTTCCTGAGGTAGGAAGGCGCTTGACGTAGACTGTGATCCAGGAGTCCAGGAAAATATCTACCTTCAACGACCGACGGCAAAAGGAGGATGGCCAACGCGCACCAGGAGGGAGCCGACGCGGCACGGCACGCTCGGCCGGGCCGCTCTCCTCGTCGCCCCCGCCTTCCGAGCTGGAGGACGTCATGAACGAGCCCCGCGAGCTGGCCGAGTACTCGCTGAAGGTCTTGAAGCTGATCGTCGGGTTGCGCTCCCAGAACTGGGCGATGGTGTCCTTCCAGGGCCGCGCTGACGGCGATGCTGCTCCACGGTGGTGCTGGAAAGCAAACTGTCGGACATCACTGACCACACTCTCCTACATCTCCGATCTGCGGATGCAGCAAACGAAGACGACACAGCGATCTGTAGGAAAGCACGAGCCGCGCGTTCCCACAATACCGAAAGTGAGCGTTTTTGTGACTCGGCGTTTCGACATTGGGCAGAACGGGGGGTGGGAGGGAGGGGGGTCTGGCTCCGGACCTCTGCTTAGTGCGACTGTTTGCAGCAGTGGCTCCTACGAGGGGAGAGGCTCCATCCGCTCGAAACAGACGCTCCAGAACAGCCAATGTCTACTCCATGGGGGGGGGAGGGGGGGGGGCGAGGGGCCGCGCCGACCGGCAAAACAATACGCAAAAAACGCTCACACACCCACATCGTCGTTACCTGCATCGCCGTCAGCGCGCCTGCTGGAGCAGGGACCGACTGTCCAGGCATTCCTATAGGCCTGCCACGACATGTTAGAAATCAGACGTGCTCTCAGTTCTAAAAGCAAAAACCATGCCATCAGAACATAAAGCCGGACGTATTAAAACGAGACAGTCTGAGTCAGACATGTTCTGAGAACATCCCGTGCAGACCACAACAAATTCTTAGAACATTGTTTGGCCGGCCTGTAGGCGAGCCAAGACGCTTCGCCGCTTTGGACGCCCGAAATGAGCACGGAAACAATGGGCACAATGCCCCACAGCAAATGTTGTCCCGAACCGACAGCGGCCGCTGTTTGGCAGGCGGCCTTTGGTCTCAAATGGACACGGTCCGCGGCGACGCCGACAGCGAATCCTGTTCAAACTGAACATGAACTGCTCCCGGTCTTTGTACCCGTTCTTTCCGTACCTGTGTCGGTCGTCCCGAGCTTGAAGTCGGGCGTGTCCCCCTACAGGGGGATTTTTGACGAACAATCGAAAATACCCAACAAATAATCAGAAAATAATCCAAAAATAGTCTGGGGACTACTTTTTGAATCTGTTTTGCCTTTTGGGGGTATTTTTGGGGTATTTTCTAGTTTTCGTCGAAGATCCCCTTGTAGCGGGACACGCCCGACATAACCCGAGCCGCTGCTTGATCTGCGGTCCTTCAGCCCGGTCATGTCCAGGCCTGGGCTGCCCTGCTCGGCGCCCCTGGTCATCATCATCGTGGCCTTGCGGCGGGCCCTCAGGGCCTCCTCCCTGCGCGGCCGCGCGCGGCCGCGGGGCTCGACCAGCACGGTGCGTGCTCTCGCTCTCGCCCTGGCTCCGCTGTCCCTCGCGTCCTCTCCACTCCGCCCCCCTGCTGGGGCGCGACGCCAGAGCGAGAGCGGCCCACGACGTCGACGAACAACAAAAGCGCACCGCCCAGGTCGACCCCCCTGCGCGACCAGTGGCCCTCGGCGAGAGTGACTCTCGGAGCGAGGCTCCTGGTGGTCGGGGGCCGGGGGGGAAACCATCCGGGCGCCCAGAACCCAGTGCGGGGGGGGGGGCTGGCGTGCACCCGCGCCAAGGGTCACCCAAGGCGAGGGACCACCCGTGCGCGCGGCCGACCTGCGCAGCAGCTGCTCCCAGCCGCCGGGAGCGTGCCTCCGCAGGAGCTCCTCCTTTGAGCAGGAACCGACCGTCCCGGCATTCCTATAGGCCTGCCACGACATGTTCTCAGAACCCAGCGGTGTACTAAAAGCAAGGACAATGTGCTCAGACCATAACCCCGATGTGTTTAAAGAAGTCAGTCCCGGCCAGAAATGTTCTAAGAACGTTTCGTGGAACCACAGCAGCTTCTTAGAACATTGTTCGGTAGGCCTGTAGGCACGCCAGGACGCTTCGCCACTGCTTGACTCCTGGTGCGTGAGCTGCTGCTGCGCCCTCTCGATCGCGGCCGGCAGGCTGTTCGAGACCTCGAGCTCCAGCAGCTTCGCCTTGAGCTCGTCCGCCTCGGCACGCAGCTGCCGCTCGATATTCTGCTCGTTGTCCTTGTTCTGCTTCGCGCTTGTCTGCACCAGCTTCACAGATTGCTGGCGGCGCGCGCAACGGGGTGGAGCGACGAAGGCGGCCTTCTGCGAAGCCTTGCAAGCTTCTCGGAAGGGAGGGGAGGCTTCTCAAAGGCCGTCCCAGCTGCTCAGAAGCCTCCTCAGAGGCCCCAGGCCCTCTTTGGAACGGCCTCCGTCATCGAAGGCGTATCACGCCTTCTCAGAAGGTCCCCCCCCCCCTCGCGTCACCCCCGTGTGCGCGCCGCCAGGATTGGGCGAACTTGAGCGTGGACATAGTCTCGTCGTAGTCCCAGTTGGACGGCGAGACCGCTGCGACCATCACGGTCTTGGAGTTGCCAGAGAGCGATTCCTTGAGCAAGTAGGTCAGCCTCGAGTCGCGGAATGGCGGGTTCTGACTCTTCCTTTTGGGGGTTCCAAAGGCCGTGTGGTGACGGACCGCGTGGTCACCTCAGAAGGCCCCAATCGCTCGAGACGTCCATCGTCGGAGAACTGCTCGAGTCCCCAAGCCGCGTGGTGGCCCGAATCCCCACCGACTCACCCGACTCGGCGTGGCCACCACGCCGTTTGGGGACCCCCGACTTCTGAGGGGGCCTTCCCGGGGGGTGCATCCGTGGGGCTCCGCGGCCCTGTCGTGAACGTGATTTCGAAGGGGGTTCGTCCAAACTTCGACCACTCGCTCTTGCTCCTCCCCCTCCTCCACCTCCTCTCCTCCTCCTCCTCCTCCTCCTCCTCCTCCTCCTCCCCCTCCTCCTCCTCCTGCTCCTCCTCCTCCTCCTCTCCTCCTCTCCTCCTCCTCCTCCTCCTCCTCCTCCTCCTCCTCCTCCTCCTCCTGCTCCTTCACCCGTTCGTCCAGGTGCCACTCAATTGTTGTCCCGATGCCGACCCAATCCGGCGAAATCCACACGAGGCCTCCCCACTCGCAGTGGTCCCTTCTGGTGAGCCGGTGGCCCTCTACGGGAGCCTGAAACTGAGGCTCCCACGAAGAACCACTGGATCACCAAAGGGTGTAGGCACAGCACTTGCTTTCGGGTCATAACTCGTCTCCCTGGCGACCTTTCGGGACGGATCTGGCACCCCCTGAACGCCCTCGGCGAGGCGCAGCTGATGGGAACCCCGAGAACTACCGATGCGATACAACCACCAGTCAGGTGATATTGAGGTTCGTGGGGGAAGAGGGGAACAAAAGTCTAATTCAATCGATCTCACATTGATAACACTCACGATCTCACAACAGATCTCACAATCGATTTCACTATCGACTCCTCCTTCGATCTCACAACAGATCACGCTATCGATATCAATATCGATCTCACAAGCGATCTCAAGATCGATCTCACACCAGATCTCACTATCGATCTCCAAATCGATCTCACCATGGATCTGACAATCGAACTCTTAAATGATTTTACAATCGAACCCACTACCGAGCTCACATCAGTTCCTACTTTCGGTATCACTATCGATATCGCAGTCGATCTCACAATCGATCCAAATCTCGGTCTCACAATCGATTCCACAATCAATGTCAGCACCGATCTCACAGTCGATCCCACTATAGATCTCATGAGCGATCTCAAGACCGATCTCGCAACTGATCTGACGATCTATCTCACAACTGATCTCAGCATCGATCTCACAACACATCTCACTATCGATCCCACGATCGATCTGATAACAGATCCGAATATCGATCTCATAATCGGTCTCTCTATCGATTTGACAATCGAACTCGCTATCGATCTTACAAGCGATCTCACAATTGCTCTCACAGCAGATCTCACTATGGATCTCCCAATCGATACCACCACCGATATGACAATCGAACTCATTATCGATCTCACATTCGGACTCACGACCGATCTCACAACAGTCTCACTATCGGTGTCACGATCGATCTCACTAGCGGTCTCAAGGTCGATCTCACAATCGGTCTCAGTATCGATCTCACTGTCGATCGCCATATGGATATCACGAGCGATCTCACTATAGAACTCATGAACGTTCTCACCATCGATCTCACAACAGATCTCACAACCGTATTTATTATCTATATATATATATAAATATCGATCACTATCGATATCACAACAAATCTCACAATCGATCTCACAATCGACCTCACTATCGATATCACTATCAATCTCACCGCTGCGCCACCGACGTGACACCCCGCGCCACCGACGGGACGCCCCGCGCCACCGAGGGGACACAGCCGCGCCACCGACGGGACCCCGACGAGACACTCCCGGCCACCGCGCGCTGGGGGTGGAAGGGGCGGACAACCGGCTCCTCAGCCCCTAGCCACGACGGCATCAGTCCGCCCGCACGCCCACGCAACGTCTCCTCGCCCGCACGCCCGACACGAACACAAACCGAAACCGATTTCCAGGTGGGGGGCTCTCCGGACCACTGCGATCTTACCCCCTCACCTCCGACCGAGAACAATGTCGAAAACGTGCAAATCTACTCGCAAGATGCAACGCGGTGTGATCATTACGGCTTTGGGGCTCCCCGATTCCTGTCCGCCAGGCTGGAGATGACGCGGGCCAGGACGGAGAGGCTCTGGTTGATGTTGGCGCCCTCCTTCAGGCGTGCGCCATCCGCCTGCGTCCGCTTGGCCCGCTCGGACCCCGCGAGGTCGACAAGGTTCGTCTGCGACAGCTTGCACTCGCCCGACGCCTCTGCGGGGACAGCAGGCGACCACAGCCACATCGAGGACACACCCCAAGGGATGCTCTTGGACGCCCGAGATGGGCACGGAAAAGACGGGCAGTGTGCCCCACAACAAATGCTGTCCAAAACCGGCAGTGGCGACAGTTGGGCAGGCAGCCTCCTGTCTCAAATGGACAACGTCCGCGGCGACACCGACAGCGAGTCCGGATCAAACTGAACAGGAAACGCTGTCGTTCCATGTGCCCGTTATTTCCGTACCCATTTCGATCGTCCCGAATGTTTTGTGACGCCAGCAGTCGTCAGAACATCGAAACAAGCTCAGTACTTGTCGTGGTCGATGTGGGCGTCTCAGACGGCCGAATCAACTTCAACCACAACCAAGATGCTCATGCCGAGATCGGTGGGTTCTCCCTCTAAGGGCCCTGCAGGCAAATCCACTCAGTTGTGGTTGTGGTTTTTGGTTGTGCCAGGCGCCTCGTCCTTGATCGATATCCTGAAGACGAAAACGCAATGACTTCTGCTGCTGCTCGCGTTCATGGAGGTCACGCCCACCTGCCGCATCTGCGACCCGTACTCGATCAAGTCCGTGACGGCCTTGGCGTTGTCCACGGGCGCCTCGGTCAGCCCGGGAACGATGACGCCGAGCACGGCGTGCTGCTTCACGTCCAGCTTCCGCCGCGGACTGGCGGCCTCCGAGTCTGCACGGAGCAGGTCGCGAATCTGCTCGTTGTAAATCTCGAGGAAGGACACGTACGTCTTGCACGTGGTGTTCGCGTCGAGGCCGGCCACGTGCTCGAACAGGCCCTCCACCACCCGGGGCAGCAGCCCGCGCTCCTTCTGGCGGCAGGATGCAGAAAGGGTGGGGTGCAGGCCGGGGGTGGGAATGGAGCGAGACACCGCTCAAGGATGGGGTGCAGGCCGGGGGTGGGGATGGAACGGGACACCGCTCAAAGAGGCCCCCGACCACGGAGAGGAGAGCGCCCCGCTGGGATCCCGCCCTCTGCGAGCCCCCGATCCGGACCCCTGCCGCCGAGGACGCTGTAGCTCTTGCCGCTGCCCGTCTGGCCGTAGGCGAAGATGCAGTTGTTGAAGCCGTCCATGGCGTTCGCCAGCAGCTGGCTCCCGAGCTCCCCCTGCAGGGTCTCCTGCGTGGCGTACAGGCGGTGGTCCTTGCTGTGCGACCAGTAGACCCTGTCGTACTCAAAGGATCGCCTCGGGGCTGGACCCGAGCGCTGCTTCTCGTGCTGTCGTCGTGCCGTGCCTCTCGTCTTGCTCGACCTGTTCTCCTGTACCCCTCCCCGCCGGAACGAAGAACAAAACACGGCCGAAGTCCAGCAAGACAGCGTGTGTCGGCGGTGGACAAACCTCCCTTTAGTAAACCTCCCCCTAGTGAAAACGGCCTGGGACCGAAACCGACGGACCTGGACCCGCAAAAATGACGGCCGCGGCGCCCTCTCGCGAACCGAAAACGGCCAATTCACTAATCGACGCGTCAGGGTAGGAGGTCTGTCCACCCCCGAGTGTGGGTCCAGCCCTGGAATCGCCTGGATAAGGGGTCGGCGCCCCGCCAGATGTCCAGCGACGTCGTGGTGGAGGCGCCGACGCAGCACCGCAGCTCGTCGTCTCCCTGCCGCCGCTCGCCGCTCAGCTCCTGGGGGATGAAGGGCCGCACGCGGATGCACACCTTCAGGAGGGAAAGAAACACACAGACACGATGAATCGTCGACTTCCCAGTGGGGGGGAATACAAAAACCGAGAAAATATTGAAAAATAGGGGGACTCCGGTTATGTATGTGTATTTTTTTGTGTGTCCTGGGGCCCCTTGACACCTGCCCGGCTCCAGAAGCATCGGCGCACGCCATTCGGTGGCAACTGACGGGAGGCTCCCACGCCATCATGCTGGCCGACGCCACCCGACGCCCATCGACGGCGATCGATGCTACATCGACGGCGATCGACGCCGACCGACGCTGCCTCATCGATGACCAGGCGCTACTCGACGCAAAAGACGGAACGAAAAGAGTGCACAAGGCTCCCCATGAGTTGCTGCCGAAGGACTCGCCAATGCGGAACTTCACTCCAGAAGGGGCAGCCTCTCCAGCCGGGGCCGAGTGCCGAGGGGAAACCCGTGGCGGCCCACGAGCATGTTCCGAGGGCAGCCCGTAATCGAGGCAGGACGACGCGAAATGCAGCAGGCAAGATACGAGGGTACCACAGTGGAAAAACCAGATGTGCCGATACTGGAGACGAGGATCTCCCAGGAGGCCCCAAAAGGGGACAACGAGCGAAGGGTACACGTCGTTCATTCTAGTCGTGCTCATTTCTAACTGTGCTCGTTTCCGGTTGTTCCTGGCCCCCTAGTGGCCAGGAAGAGGCCCAGGATAGAACAGTTAGAAATGAAAGGATATTGGCCCCCAGAAAAATCCAAAAGAACTTTCGAAGAATTAGACCTGAACAGTGCGTGGTGGTATGGCACCCTTTCCTCCTCGGAGCTTCTGCCAGCGGAGCTGCCATCGACTCACCTCCGCCGTCTTCCCTGCGCCTCTGGGGCCGAGGGGCCAGCTCCTCGGCTCGGGGTGGATTGGAGGGGCCCTGGGACACACAAACAGATAGTCACAAATAACAGGATTCCCAATAGTTTCCAATATTTTCTGGGTTTTTGTCTTCCCCCCAAGTTCCAAATGTTCAAACATTTCGGGGGAATCGACAACCAATTGTGTCTGTGTGTGTTTTTCCCCTCCTGATGGATGCCAGGCGGGGGTCAGCAGAGTCGCGGCTTCGCTGCATGCGGCGGGACTCGACCATACATCGAGGAGGGTGCCCAGCGGCGGGACGCCGGTGACGCATCGCAACCCCCGTCGGTTCCCCCGAGGCGAGGCCCCCTCACCGCCGCGCGGGCGCAGCTCTCGCGTGCGCTCCATGCTGCGTGCTCCAGGTACCAAGGGGGGAGGCTGCCAGAAGCGGCCGGATTCCCTCGCAGCCCTACGACGCGGCCTGCAGGGGCCCGAGTGCGGCGAGCGGACCCACGGGCAGACACGCAAACACAGACGAAACCGCACGCCCGACCAATTATCTGGAAAGCCTCCCAAAAACGGCGGGAACAGATGGGGCGGGAGGATCGCACGGTATGACCGATGCGTCACCGGTGCTCCGGCGAGATCGGGACAGACGAGCGATGCATGGCCCATGCATCGGCGATGCGGCTCGATCTCCCGACCCTATCCAACCTGGCACTGTGTGCAGAGGGAGACAGAAAAGCACACACATAAACTGTGGGTGGACGTTCTCTTCTTCGGCGTTTCGACATTGGGCGGAAGGCGAGGAAGGGGGGGGGTCTGGCTCCGGACCTCTCCTCAATGCGACTGTTCGCGACAGCGCGTCCTATGGGGGAGACCCCACCAGCTCGAAACGGGCGCCAAATATAGCCAAGAGCTACTCCGGGGGGGGGGGGGGTACGAGGGCCCGCGCCGATCAGCAAAACAATGAATTAGAACACGAGCAGGGCGGGACGGGGGCACTGTGCGCCTCTCACCTTTGCCGCCCTCCTCGCCCACCTTCCCATTCTCCCCATTCGTTCTCCTCCTCATCCTCCTCCTCCTCATCTTCCCTTCCCCCCACTCACACGGGATGACACATGAACCGTCGCAGGTCCGCGCAAATGTCTCGGATCGGCGCTGGTTCCCCGATTCCTGAGCGCGTGCAGCCCACCAGGGAACGCGCTGGAGGCGCCGCCAGGGGGGTCCAGGCTCCGATCCCAGGAAGATCCCCTTTCTCGCACTCGGGAGGCTTGGGTTAGGTCGGGCGCGTCCCCCTTACATGCAGATTTTGGAAGAAAACGAAACATATTCATAACAGATTGAGAGAAGATTCCAAACATCGTCCTCCGACTTTGTTTTCACTGGTGAATCTTCCTCCTTCATACCACGGAATGTTCACAGAACCCAGAAATTTTCGAAGAACCAAAACAATGCTCTTGGAGCATAGACCCGATGTGTTCAAACAAGAGACAGTCCCAGCCAGGCATGTTCTAAGACCATCCCGTGGGAACCACAAAAGGTGTTCAGAACATTGCTCGGTGGGGCTGTAGGCGAGCCGGCACGCCTCGCCACTGCTTGGGAGACATGCCCGACTCGGGGCCTGGGCTCTCCGCGGCCGGCCGGCCTCCCAGGGCCTCCGCCGCCCTACCAGCGATGCTCTGGCAGCGACACATCGGCGACACATCGGCGACGTCGGCGAGGGGACACTCAGGCTCCGCATCGAGCCGCATCGGCGAGGCGGCGCGACCTCAGAAAAAGAGAAGACGCCACGAACACAAGCTTTTGGCGCTCCGCGCGGACGTTGTTTGGAACTTGCGCTGGACTCCCCTCCCTGGCGCGCGCAGCGGGCCAGGGGCGGCGCCAGAGGCGCTGCCGGGGGGGGTCCCAGCGCGAAGAACTCGGCGCGGAGCGCCAAGGGTTCATGTCTATGGCGTTGTTCTTCTTCGGAATCCTCTGACCTCCTCTCCTCAGGTGGAAAAGAAACACACAGACACAATTAATCTTCAAATTCCCTAGAAAATATAGGAAAATATGGGAAGTGGGGGGAAGACAGAAACCCAGAACATATGGGAAAATATGGAGAATCTGTTTATTTGTGTGTGTACTTATTTGTGTGTCCTGGGGCCTCAGGCCTACGGATGCGGGAGGCCTGGGTCTTCCTCGGTCGGCCGGGGGACTCCCCGGGGCTGCCGCCGCCCTCCCCTTCTTCCCTGCAGCGCAGCTCTCCCGGTGCCCAGGAAGCTTCTTGGTGGTCTCCAAACGTGGTGGTGAGAACACCCGGTGGTGAGCTTTGGGCGATTTGGGTAATGGTTTTCGAGCGCTGGCTGGCCCAGGAAACGCCAAAACCTCCTGGCGACCGCGTGGCCCCAAACCCGGTGGCGACCCAGACTTATTTTTGGGGGGGATCGGGGTCACCACCGGGTGTCTCACAACCTGGTTTGGAGACCACCAAGCTTCGCGGGGGCGATCGCGCGACGGCCGAGCACGCCGGAGTGCGACCGACGCCCGAGACGAGGGCGGGCACGAGGCCACGAGGCAGCTGTGCCTCCCCGCGGCCCTGCCGCCGCCTTCCGCCCAAGCTCAGGTCGGGCGTGCCCCCCTCACGACACGCAGCTCTTGGATGAAAACCAAGCATCGCCCAACAAAACTCGAACAGAGTCCAGGAACGGTCGAACAAGCGCCCCCGTACTCCTTGTGGACTATTTTGGGCTCGAGGCCCTCGAGGCCCTCGAGGCGAGGCCCTCTCGGACCCCCCGAGCGCGAGGCCCTCGATTGGGTGTCCCAAAACCGTGTGGTGACAGACCCGGCGGTGACCTCGAAATCCGCAAAGACCTCACCGCACGGTCCGTCACCACACGGTTTTGGGACCGTGGAGGCTCCAGTCGCCCGAGACATCCTCGGAGAACGACCCAAGTTCCAAAACCGGGCGGTGACCCGAATCCCCACCGACTCACCACACGGTGTGGTCACCACCCCGTTTGGGAGCCCCCGACTCGAGGCGAGGAGCTCGCGGGGCCACCCGGGGCGCCCGGGCGGCAGCGGCCGCTCGCCACGCCCGCTGCGGGAGGAGGGGCGCGCCCTCGAGCCGTGGACCCCTCGACGCCTCGACGCCCTCGCCCCCTTCGCCCCTGCGACCCCCTCGACCCCTCGACGCCTCGAACCCTTCGCCCCCTCGACCCTTTCGACCCCTTCCTCGACCCTTCGCCCCCTCGACCCCCTCGACCCTTCGCCCCCTGGACCCTTCGACCCCTGGACGAGATGACAACTCCTTCCACCCTCGAGCGCGAGGGCCCTCTCGCCTCGCTGGGGGAGGCCTGGGCGCTTTCCGCAGCCGGCCGCCTTGATGTTGTTGCCCGCGGCCTTCTTGGGGACACGCAGAGGTACACGCGGGTCGGAACAAGTGGGCAGAACCATGAAGTACAACCGCTCGACTCTTGAAGCAGGAAGGCGGCTGAAATAGATTGGGATCCGGGAGCCCAGACATGCCTACTTCCAACGATCGGCGTGTACTGATACCGCTACTCACGGGACCTCTCCCGTGGTGCCTTCTGCCCAGAATCTCGAAGTGAGTCCAGCGGTGGCAACGAGGGCCTCCCCGGAGGCCCCCCAAAGGGGGAAGCCGAGGCAAGGGAGGGGCATCGGGCACCTTATCCTCCCCGGAGCCTCGGCCCTCGGCATGGCTTCCGCCCTCCTCGGGTGGAGGCCCCCCCAGCGGGCGGCGCCTCCGCGACGCCCCGGCGGGCGGCAGCGGCGGCCGCCCCGCGCGCGCCATCGGGCTCGCGGCAACGGCCGGGGGGGCCACGGCCGGAGGGGGGCCGTGGCGACGGCGCCCGCGCGGGGCCACGACCCTGACGGCCGGGCGTCGCCGCTTTCGTGCTTCCCCCCACGGCTGTGACTCTCGGCGCCCGGCGGCGTTCGGAGTTCGCGGCGCTCGGGGTTTTTCTGCGTTCTCGTCGGCTCTCGGCGGCTTGCCAGCCTCGGGGTGCCCACCAGCAGCTGCGCCTCGCCGAGAGCCTTGAGGGCTTTTTCTTTCTTTTCCACGACGATTGGCGCTAAAGGGGCGGGAGGCGGGGGGTTGTAACTTAACGCACCCCCCCCGCTGTGTGGCTGCGGCACCACAGGAGCCTTTTTTGGTTCAGGGACAGCGGCCGTCATCGGCCCCGCCCTCCCCCCAGATGGCGTCACGTTCCACGTCAGCGGCACCCAGGAATGCGATGGCCAAGGCCAAGTAGGAGCAGCACGTAGGTGGCAATCTGCCCCACAACGCCTGTATACACCATAATGCTGGCGTGCACCACGGCGCTCTGTGTACACCACAGCGCCTGCGTACATCGCAACAGCCGTGTACAACGCAGCGCCTGTGCACACCACAATGCTTGCGTACACCACAGCGCCGGTGTACACAACAGCGAATGTGTTCACCGCACCGACCATGTGCAACACAGCGCGTGTGTGCACCACAATTCTTGCGTGCACCGCTGCGGCTGTACACACCATGGCGCCTGTCTACAGCACGGCATCGGCGTGCAACACAGCACTAGTGTACACCACAGCGCCTGCGTGCACAGGACAGGTAGAAGGAGCATGTAAGTAAGGATCTGCCGCGGACAGCTAAACACCACGCCGGGGAGATGCTGACAATAGAATGGGACGCTCTTCCCTCCTCCCTCCTCCTCCTCCGCCTCCTACGCCTCCACCTCCACCTCCACATCCACCTCCTCCTCCTCCTCCTCCTCCTTCTCCTCCTCCTCCTCCTCCTCCTCCTCCTCCTCCTCCTCCTCCTCCTCCTCCTCCTCCTCCTCCTCCCTAACCCTCCCCCCCGTTCGTGCGGGCCGGCGCTACAGCGCACGTGCGCATCTCAGCGCGCACCACAAAGTGGTCTTCTGAATCAGTCCACTTGGTTCTCGGATGGCCCATCCTGCTAAAGCCTCCTGGACGCATATTGGTGGAGTCCGGATGATGCGGGAAGATCGTAGATTCCAGTGGCGCTCCTTTTTCCGTCAGGATTCCTGTCCAACTCCTATACAAAACAATTGTTGTCTGTGGACTCCGCAAGTGTACCATTTTGTCATAAGAGGTCCTTCCTATGAAATTCTATATGCAACAGTTGTGCTCTGTTGCACACGGTTGTTGTGGGTGCACACAAGCGCCGAGGTGTACACAAGCGCTGTAGTGCACGCAAGAATTGTGGTCTATACTGGTGCTGTGTTGCGCACCGCTAATGCGGCGTACGCAGGCGCAGTGGTGTACACGAGCGCTGTGGTGCCCGCAGGCACTGTGGCACACACTGGCGCTGTGTTACACGCGGATGCTGTGGTGTACACACGCTGTGTGGTGTGCACAGGCGCTGCGGTGCACGCAGGCGTTGTGGTTTACACAGGCGCTGTGGTGCGGATCGCCACCTGCATGCTGCTGCTACCCGTCCTCGGTCATTCCCAGACGCCGCCGGCGCGAAACGTGATGTCCTCGGCCCCGTCCCCTGCTCAGATGACGGTCGTCATCGGCCCAGAATAGAAACGAGGGTCCAGCCACGTCCGCGCGCACGTTATGAGGGGGAGGGGCTGGGGCTATATAACGCCCGGCGGTCGTCAGAAAGCTGCACGCGGGGGCCTGGGGCGCAGAGTGGGGCGACACGAACCAGCCCCGAAGCGTATCGAGGCTACGGCCGGGCGTCGCAGTTGTGTCGCGCCGGGCATGTTCGCCCGTTCGAGGGCCGCGGGGTCCTCACGGATCGATCCGGCTCGAGAGATGCCGCGGAGAGTGGGGGACTGGGGCTTCGGTCGTGATTTCTCGCGGGGCTGCAGTCTGCTCCGCGGCGTCGGGACTCAGGAGATGCCGTCTGTCTGCCCTTGCCACTGACCCCCGCGGCGCTCAACAATTAGACAACATGAATAGTACTTTCCCGCCTCCCCTGATACTGTCCGCCAGACCTCCCGCCCCCTCCGCGTGCTGCGTCTTCTCACACGTGATTTCAACACACATGTGTTTCTTACGGCTGTTTGCAATCCGATTGCGTTTCTCAATGGTGCTCCCGATGCAGCGTGGGCCTCATTTTCCGATCAGCGTTTTGTTCCCGTCGTTCAGAATGCCGTTCTCGCCCTAGCGCGGGCCACTCCTCCGGATCCGAGTCTTGCTTCTTTGAAGTCCCCACGCATTTTCCCCTCTTCCGCCTTCCCCTGCGCCTCCTGTTCCTCCCGCTCCTTCCACTCCAGTTCCTACTGCTGCTGTTCGTCTCCAGCGCACGAATACGAATCTATTTTTCTCTGAATACGAATTTGTTCATCATCGTTATCGGCCCCCTCATTTCCCTTCCTCCGCCTTCCCTTGGTTCTCCTTTTCCTCTCGATTTTTCCGCTTCAGTTCCTGCTGCTGTTCGTCATAATCATTTTCCTCCCTCTCCTCCTCCTGCTCACCCGACATCTCCTCCTCCTCCTGTACCAGCAGCTCCTATTATTTCCGATTGCGCATACTAAGAGGGGATCTTGATATGGAAGTCGTAGGTCGGCTAGGACACGCGTCCGCGGATAGAGAAAACTCAGCGATATGGGAAGGGCTGGGAGGGAGGGATAGGACGTCAGATGAGGCGCGAGCGCACCTAGCTTGTCCTCTCTCTCTCTCTCTCTCGCTCTCTCTCTCTCTCGCTCTCTCGCTGTCTCTCTCTCTCTCTCTCTGCCTTTTCCCAAAAAGGGGTTAACAACGGCACAACATATAAATTGTCGGAGGTCGGAGTGGATTTCATGGACCGGCGCTGGACGTTCCCTCCCAGGCACGCGGCTCGCGCCAGTGGCGCCGCCGCGCCGCCTGGGGGTCAGCGCCGAACCCAAGAGCTCCGCACGGACCTCCGAAAGCACACACCTACCCACCTTGGTGCTCTGAGATCCTCCGCCACCTTGCTGAACAAAGACAGATCTGTCTCTCCGTCCCTCGTCTCTGCCTCTTTCTCTCTTTCTCTCTCTCTCTCTCGTTTTCTCTCATTCTCTCTCTCTCTCTTTCTCTCTTTTTTTTTGTTCCTCTCTCTCTCTCTCTCTCTCTCGCTCTCTCTGATCGGAAAGCGCGCATCGGCCGGCCCCGAGAAGGCGCGCGCGAGCCCGCGCACGACCGAGGCCCCCGGCCCGCGGCAGGCGGGAGCGACCTGGTGGTGCAGCTTCGCGACCCTCCCGGTGTACGGGCTCGTGAGCTCCACCGACGCCTCGCGGCCCCCCCCCCTCAACGGCCTCCACTTCCGCGTGCCCCTTGGCCCGCCTCTTGCGCCCTCGTCTTCCTCCGTCACCCGTCACCTTGCCCCACCTGTCCCGTCCTCCCCATCATTCCTCCCATCCCCCTGCTCCTCCTCCTCCTCTTCCTCCGGCTCCTCGTTCTCTCTTCCCCGTCCTCCTTCCTCTCCATCACCTGCTCCCCATTTGCGCCCTCCTACAGACTCATCATACTCGCAGCTGGTGTGCCCCAGATGGTCTTGATCCCCACAGGGACCCATCGCGTGACGCGCAATCAGAAGAGTGGGGTGGGGGCGTTGAACACTGGGCGAGGAGGCGGCAGATGAGAAGGGCCATGAGCAAGAGAAAAAGCAAGATGATAATGAAGGACGAGAAGCAACATGGTGAGCAGCAGAAATAAAAGAAACAGAAGGACCAAAGACGGACGGAAGACGGAACATAACGGGTCGGCACGGACCAGGAACGAATCGCATCCAGAAATAGGGCTGGCGTGAGGGCCCATCTGCACGACTGCAACAAGGCGTCGATCCTGACACGTCACCGCTGCAGCGGGAACACTGCTTTTGAAACACTGGGAACGTTTTGACCGGAACATCTCGCATCGAAAACCACCTCGGGACAATACGGTGGAGAAGGCAGTATTTTGAAGAGGCGGGGGGAATAAAGACAGCATCATGGGAGAGAGGATAATCTGCTTCATAGTGTGTAAGAGTCAAGCAGAGCTGCAGGCAAGGAAACAGGAGAGGAGGCACGCTTACGCGCGTTCGTGCCAGAGGGTCCAAACACACATGGGATTTGCCACAGTTCTAGAATTCGGCGGCACCCCTCACGCAGATCGGCGGGGTCAGGGTCCAAAACCATATGGGATTTGCCACATTTCTGAAATTTGCTGGCACCCCTCACACAGATCGGCGGGGTCAGGGTCCAAAAACACATGGGATTTGCCACATTTCTGGAATTTGCTGGCACCCTTCAAGCAGATCGGCGGGGTCAGGGTGCAAAGACACACAGGGGATTTGCTACATTCTTTAAATTCGGTGGCGCCCCTCACGCAGATCGGCGGGGTCAGGGTCCAAAAACACAAGGGATTTGCTACATTTCTGAAATTCGGTGGCACCCGTGACGCAGATCCGTAGGGTCAGGGTCGAAAACCAAACAGGTCGCGACACTGCTTCACGGCGGCGCCCAGACCTCCTGCCTTAGCTCCTGCATCTCCCCTTCTCCGAGGCAGGGGGCCGGCGGCGTGGGGCGCAGGGGTCCGGGGCTGGGCCATCGGAGGAGCGGCCATGGGCGAGGGTGGCCCTCGGTGCGCGGCTCGTCGCTCGTTGCGCGCGTCACGCGGCAGTGAGAGCGGACTGCGTGCCTGGAGTTGCCCGCCCCCCCCCCTTGCGCGCCCCACGAGAGCCGGGCACCAACGGTCACCCTGGCGAAGGCTCACTCTCACGTGGAGCCTAGAGGGTTCAGGCTCGACCCACGCCGCCCCCCTGGCCCTCGGGGGAGCCTTGTCGCTCTCGACCGCGCACACGTTGTCCATCTCCTTGATCGTGTCGCCCTCCTGGGGCGGAGATCAGAGTTTGCAATCCAGGCGGTGGAGAGGAACGCGGAAGGCAGCCCCATCAACATAGTGAGCATTCCGGCGGGGTGAGGCTGACTTCTATGGGCGCCCCAACAACTGGCAAGGTCATTGATCAGCAGCTTGCGCCGCGCAAGGAACGAGACCCAAGAGTACGAGTGCCTGACACAGGGTCAATAAATCAAGGTAGTCACTATGGGGATGTACACAACCTTCCTAGCAATATAGGGCCTCTATGAGCAAAGGTACCTCACATATCGAGCGTGGATGACACACCAACGATGAACACCTACGTGATTGAAAGCGAGTGGCATGCATGACATGAGGCGTACTCTGGTGAATGCATCCTCGGCGCACGAACTCCGTTTCCTCCTGCTCACCCTCCTGCTCAGCCGCCGCATGCTCCTCCAATGTACGCAGCTCCCCCTTTTCCGATGACGCACGGCTCGATGGGGCTCTCTTTGGAGTTCAAAGTCCATCATGGCACGAGTCGCAGGGCAGAGAAGAAACCGCACAATGGGAAAGGATGAGAGGGAGGGGTACGATTCCAGATCGTTTTGTTTGCTTTCTTGTTTTGACCGTTTTGGCGCGAGCGCACCTCGCCTGTCCTTCAACCCTCCTCCCCAAGCCCCCCTTTGCAATCGATCCTCGATCCTTCGTTCCTCCGATCCTCGATCGATCCGATCCTCGATGCTCGAACCTTGTTCGTTCCTTGATCCTCGGTCCTCGATCGTTCCTTGATCCGCGATCCTCGATCGATCTTCGATACCCCCCCCAATCTGCCATCCCCAATCCCGCTCCCCCTTCCGTCCTCCCCCTCCCCCACCCCACGCACTCCGCGTCGACCTCCCCGTGCCCCGACCCCGCCCTCGCAGCGAGGCGCCCGGTGGCATACCCAAGCCTGTGCTGCTTTTGCCCGTGGCAGGCAGCTGCATCACCGCAGGCACACAGTGGCGGTGTCGCAAGCATCGCTGACAAGTCACCGAAGGATCTCACACGGACGGCTCAGCACGCGGATCGAGGAGCAAGTGCGCCTGCAGCGCCTCCTTCTCGGCTCGAGTGCAAGCAGGCGCAAATCTGCACCAGGAAAGGGAAGGCAACATGGAAACAGTCGCGGCGCACTGCTACAACGTCTTACATCGCCTCTGCGACGGACACGCGTGCTCGCGGCAACATTCTGCATGACCCGCCCGCTGGCCGATTACGAGGAGATTGACATGTTTGGCGACCCCACTCAACCTATCCCCTTCCCTGGGCCCGAAACCCAAACAAACCGCAAAAAGGACACCTGCATGCCACAAGATGGCCCCAATTGGCCCCAAGTCGGCCCAATGATTGCCCTACGGTCTCCCTACCAGCAAGAATATGCGAACAACCGACGCTGTGCCAACGGTGCTCGTGTCCTCGATTATATTCGTTCAGATGGGCCTCGGAATCCTGAAGACAACCCCTAGGTGGCAAGAGACAACCCAAAGGAGGCCACACAGATACCCTAAGATCAGAAAAGGCCGCGATAGTCCAAGCGGGTCTCACAAAGACTCATGCTCGCCTATTCGGGCCAACCGTCGGCCCAAGACGGCCCAAGAAGCCTCCACGATGGCCCAAGACAGCCCACGAGGCCCCGAAGATGGCCCAAGAGGACTCCACGATGCCCCAAGAGGCATCCAAGACGGCCCGAGAGGCCCCCCCGTAGGACCCAAAGGCGGCCCGAGGAAGCCCTTCCACAGCCGACGGCCCCGAAACGACCTCCAGACACCCGCCGCACGGCCAGGAGGGCCCCGAGACCGTCCAGGAGAGCCCAAAGACGCAGCAAGACGGCCGGGAGGCGGCCCAAGTGGTCAAAAATAATGGAAACATCGTCCCCAGATCATGTGTGGACTATTGTTTGACATTCCTTCTGTGGAGGAACACGCCTCCTGACTTAACTTAACATGCCTCCTGACTGAACACGCTTCCTCCTGCACTATGTTTGAACATTCCCCCCCGACCTAACGCTATGGGTACCTTTTCCTCCTCTGACGTTCGGTCCGCCCGGCGCTGCCCCTGCCAGCGCCCCTGGGAGCGTCGCCGCTCTCAGCCGTGCCCGCGAGCAGCCGCAGCGCCTCCGCGCGCACAGCGGCGTAGTCGTCCGCCTGCGGCCGCCAGCGCATGGCGGCGGGAGGTGCACGCGACAACTTCTGGCACGAAACCCACCAGCACCCCCCACCGCGTCCCCACCACGCCCCCACCACGTCCGCACACCCCACGAATCGGAGCTCACATCGGAATCCGAAGTCGAATCGAATCGGAATCGGAAGCCATCGAAATCGGATCGAATCGAATCGGACGAATCGAAATGAGCCCTGGAGACTGCCTGTAGCTTTTTCCCCTCAGATGGTGCTCAACGCTTTATTCATATAACTACTGCACGCATGGATTTCTATTACCTCTCAACTTGCATTTGCATTGTTCAGCTCTCTCCCGTACGCTCCGCACATGTGTCCGAGGGGCCATTGCCTTGCTCAAAGTACGTTCAGTTTGCATCAGTTTGATGCTAGCTGGCTGCCGAGTGCTGTTCGCTGTCGTTCAGCTGTCTGCCAGCTTGCCCAGCCCAGCATTCCCCCAGGATGTCGAGATTCGTGTGAATTCAGCGTACCTTTAGATCGATGTCGGTCCGCTGTTAGCTTGCTCATCGCGTGTATTGTCTCGCCTGGAATGCTGTGTGTGCGTGTCCTTCATGCTGGCTGTGCACAACTTTCACTTGCTCGCCTGGGTGTTAGTCCGCGTTTAGCTTGTTTGAGGTTTGCTCCTAATTTGAGTTTCGCGTGCACCAACTCGATGTTCGCTGTCGGTTGGCATGCTGCTAAATTACATGCCTTTCCCAAATGATCACGGCGGTGGACAAACCTCTCTTTAATAAACCACCCTTTAGTGAAAACGGCCTAAGACCGAGACCGACGGACCCGGACCCTCAAGAATGACGGCCGCGACGCCCTCTCGCGAACCGAACACGGCCGATTCGCTAGTCGACGTGTCAGGGTAGGCGTTCTATCAACCTCCGATGATCTTACATACGTCCATGAAGTCCGAAGAGAAGTCCGAGCCCCTTTCTGGCGGCGTTCCGCCACGATGTGCTCTTGCGACTCGACCCGCGCGTCCAGAAGCTTCAAGAACACCGTGGGGGCTCGCCAGCAAGAGGCAGCGGAACGCATGCAAACCTAAGGAACGCCCGAGCCCCTTTTGAAGAGGAAGCGTTCCTCACGCGGGCGCCTCTCCGAGGATTGTAAGACTCTTACGGGCTCCGACCCTCGGCCTCCAAAAGCTGCTTTGCTTTCTTCTCGGACGCTCGTTGCGTGTGTCGCTTAAACCCTCCGGGAGTCGGACCCCGCAAGAAACTGCCCGGAGATCCTCCAACAGCCTCCCAAGAGACGTCCGACACGTAATTTGAAGCCATCGGAAGACTTCAGCGAGGAGGAGGAGGGGGAGGAGGAGGAGGAGGAGGGGGAGGAGGAGGGAGGAGAGAAGAGGAGGAGAGCGAGGAGGAGGAGGAGGAGGATAAGGAGGAGCAGGAGCTCCGATGGCCCCCAAGAGGCTCACAAAAACATGCAAAAGCGAGGCGAAGACGCTGCAAGAGAGGCTCTGGACAGCCAGGAGGGTCGCCATCGTCACATGGTTTCTACATGTGTTCGGCCGCTCGACATCTTTCAGAGGCGAGCAAGGGGGGGAAGTGAGAAGGAGAAGGTCTTTTCAGAAGGCGACGGGACTTCTCAGATACCCTCGCGCCTTCTGAGAATTTGTCTGTCGGGAAATGCTTAGGAGACTTCTCAGAAGGCCCGGGGACTTCCGAAACTTCTGAGAAGGCCTCTTCCTTCTCACTTCCCCCCTCGCTCGCCGCCGAATCTTGGCCCCACCGTTGGCTTAAGTCGGCTTGAGGATGCAGTCAACCTGTATAGTCAGGATGCGCGATGAGGATGCAAGGGCCTTGGAAATCCATTTCGAAGCATTCCGAGCGGGGCGCGGCCAACGAAAGCGGGCAAGGATGGACCGAGGCGGCAAGGATGCAAGGTAATTACCCTTGGGAAGGTTGTCCATCCTTACTATGCTGGTTGACCTGTGCTCCAAGACTGCCCAAGAGGGGCCCCCAGTCACCAGAAAACAGCCCAAGAATGCACCAAGAGGCACCCACGCCTGGCTCAGGACACTCTACCCAAGAGAGCCTGAGGCAGCCCAAGGGGGCTCCGCGGCACCCGAAGACGGCGCCGAGACAGTCCAAGAGAGCTCCGACTAAGCTCTCCATCCACGGCTCAAGAAGGCCCAGGGTAGCCCGAACTGGTCCAAAAATATCCCCTCACATACACTGAAGGTGCCCCAGAGACGCCTCCAAGAGGCCTCTGGTCCATGACCCAGGCACGGTGGCGGGACGGGCCGACGGCCGCTGCATTTAGCTAAGAACAGCGCGCACGAGGGAAAACTTGATCTGTGATCACGCGCGGCTCATTTCCAAGATACCCGATGTTGCACCGGGCTCTGTACGAGAATGAACTTCGAGGTCTTGGTCGCGGTCAAACCCTTTAGCACGGGGGCAAGAGGTGAAACGGGTCCTGGACCCTGGTGCCTTCCCCCAGGATGTGTTTTTCATCCCCAGCCCTTCTCGGTGGCAGTCCCGGGGCCCGTGGAGGGCCCTGAGAGCCCGAAAACGACAACAATTGGGGCCCGTCTCCCTCAGGACCCGCACGTCTCCCCCATGGGTAAGCCCGTTCCCGTTCTGAGATTATCATGCTTGCTCGTTGGGGATTGCGTGCCGGATAGCGCGCTGCCCGAGCACGTCGGGTCTAGGTGTCCACGAGACTCTGTCGCCCAGGACTCCCGTCCCTCCCCGGCGGGTCACGAGAATCCCAGCTCACCGACCCCGAAAGTGCAAGGACAGCCCTTCAATGCTGTTGCACAGCAGCGAAGTCCCCCACAGAGGCGGCGGCGGCATCGGCCTTCCAAATAAAAGAGACACTGCAAGGAGGAGCGGGCACACGGCCACGGCCTTCGTCCAGTCGTTCTACGGGCGCCATTATTGAGCGCAGTGGCTGAACAGAAGATCGCCAATGATGGCAATGTACTCGTCGATTGTTTTTTTTTCCAAGACCGCCTCGAGATCGACAAAGACTTCCTATCTCCAGCGTCGCACCGCGATTCCACCCACTCCGAATGAGGCTGCCCCTGCTACTCGGGACACTCATCCTGCCTTTAGCAGGCACTAGTCGTACAACTCGGCAGCAACCGTCACATTGCCATTGTCAGAGACGCTACTTGCGGCAGCGGGCTCTTTGTCCCAACTGCCTTCAGCGGTCACGCTTTCAAGAATATTTTCGGGCATTGACTCGGCCCCATCGCCTCGATCGCTGTTCTCCTCAAGCGTCTTCGCGCTGCCGCTGCGGACCTCATCCGAGGCAGCCGCGGCACCAGCACCTCCGTGAGCAGCGAAGTCGCGCTTGGCCTGCGCGCGCGGCGCCGGGGCACCATGAGCGCCGACTGCCGCCTCCGCAGCGCCACGAAGCTGCGGACCACTGGCATCAGGCTGCCCGACGACCGCTGTGCCGCCTGCACTGCCACTGCTGGCCCAGCCAGCGAGCCCGAGCTGCTGTGCACAGACGTGGCCCAGCGCCGCTGCTAGCACTGCCCCGGCGAGAGCAAGGGCGACGGCAAGCATCAGCCTCGGCCACCTCGACGGCTTCAGATCTCCTCGGGCAACGGCAACAACTTCACGGCCAGCTGGCACCAATCCGGAGTCCGACTCCCGCTCGTAGGCGCTGTTGTTCCCATCGTCATCGACCTCCACCTTCAAGTCCTCTGCGAACTCGGCGCACCACGCGTCGAATGAGGCGCGGTCCTTCCATATCTCCTCCATGGCAGGGGGCAGGACGCAGCCTGCTCGAGGCGCCAACCTGGCTGCGCAGGTCGGGCCTGGTGAAGAGCGGGCGGTACACGCTCTCTTGACACGGATGGGAGGGCGCTCCACTGAAGAGCGCCCAGTGTGGCCGCTGCCCTGGGCACCCTCGTGCCACAATCGAGCTCAGGCCAGGATGGCAACGGACGTCCAACAGGGGGCCGCCAGATACCGCTGCGCCCGATTCTCGCCTCGCACGACACGATGGGGGGGGAGGGGGAGGGGGGCGTGGCGGGTTATCCCAGCGCCTCCTGACGCCTGGAGTCGTGAGTGCATCGGGGGGACGCGCTCCGCAGGGAGACGCAGGGGGGGGACCCAGACGGTGTTTTGGCGATTTCGGGGGCCGCTTTCGTCTCGGTCCCGTCTGGCGTGAAGAGGCGGATGGGAGACACAAAACGAAGGGGAATGAAAACAAAACGACAACGACAAACACCGCTTAGGTTCGGCCCTGGGGAGACGCCAGCGCGGAACGGTGCACACGAGCCGTCTGCGGAGTGCAGGGCACGGCAGCGCTGCCCAACGCCGGCGCGAAGGGCGACCTGGGCACGGCCGCCGGCCTCCGCGGAGGACGGTGCGCGAGCGAGGCCCGGGGAGCCTCGCGGCCGGCAGGCGGCCCCTTCCGAGGGAGCGGCCCCGCGAGAGGCCCTAGGCCCCCCGAGCGGCGCGCGAGACTTGCGCGGTCAACAACGTAACCTCAGGAAGGCATTAAGAACCCCCCCTGGGTTATTCTTAGCACCTGGTTTTCTCAATATTCCAGGCGGGCAGTTTTAGCCGAACGATACACTTAGCACCCGCCGCACACAGAAAACAAAATCCACCATCGGCGGCCGCCCCACTAACGCCAAGAGAGGGTGTCGTGACGAATGTCAAGGATCTAGCCCAGATCTTTGTGCACCTTTATCCCTGGCTAAGCCTTGCTAAGCCCTGCTTGGCCCTGCTAAACTGCTTGGCAGGAGCAAATCTGCACTTGGCAGGCCTTAGCTAGGCCCCGAGTCCCCTCAGCCAGGTCTTCCGGTGCGGCCATAACGCTCCAGGGTGCGGGGGCGTTATAATCCACCGGAAGAGGGGGGGGGGGTTCTTAATGCCTTCCTGAGGTTATTCGCGCCCGCGCTCACGCAAGACGAAGCCAGGACGAGGAGAACATCGGGCGAGGATGGGTCGGAGACCTCTGAGATCCAGCGGTTCTGGAGGATGGCTCGGGCGCCGCGGCCTTCTCAGAGCGTTCAGGAACCCTCTTGGAGCGTTCCAGAACGCTCTGGGACGGATGCATCCTCGTCCTAGCCCCGTCCGCGACGGGCCGGAGTGGGGGCATGACTAAAGCTCAGCCCCCGGAGGGAAGGTCTTTGTCCATGCCGCACCCCTCGGCGTCCGCAGCTGGTGGCAGCAGCAGCGCCGGAACGCTCTGCAGGAGACGCGTGGAACGCAAGTGGTCCACGACAGCAGACAACTTCTCAGCTTCACTCTGTTGCTCGGCAGCCGGGTGCGCAGCATCGCGGCGAGGTCGACGAAAAGCGCAGCCGACGCGCGCGCGCACGGAGAGGGACACGCAAGGCAGGGGAAGCGGTTTCGATGGGGCATGCTCCCAGGAACAGCCTCGCCGGCCCGCGGAGAGTCACGCAGGGCAGGAAGGCGCCAGATGATCTCAACGAGCACCCATGCGGCCAGCGAAGGCGTTTTTCCACCCTCCTCCTCGCTCTCGTCCTCGTCCGAATGCTACTGCTGCTGCTGCTGCTGCTGCTGCTGCTGCTGCTGCTGCTGCTGCTGCTGCTGCTGCTGCTGCTGCACTCGCGCCCCGAGTGTCACTCCAGAAAAAAATGAAACGACCTGCTAATTGAGGCGCCTGACGACGGGCGCGGGGTGGCGTGTCGTCCCACTTCCGCCACCCGCGGGCCTGAAAGAGATCCTCGCTCTTGTCCTCAACCTTGCCATCTAGCCTCATCCTCCTCCTCCTCGTCCTCCTCCTCCTCCTCTTCGGCCAAGGCCTTCTGTGAAAGACGGGGCACAGCCCGCCTTAGCAACCGAATACGGTGTGAACGTGCCGAATTTCAGGCATGGTACCTGATAGGTCGCGCTGATGTGCAGCGCTGTCGCTCTCTCGCTCGCTCGCTCGCTCGTTCCTTCTCCGCCTCCTGCTCTCCCTCCTCTCCCTCCGCCCCCTCCTCCTCCCCGCCTCCACCTGGAGAGATCGAACGCCTGAGCAGACCCTGCGACTGCGACTCGCGAGCGTGCCCGGAGCCCGTGCGTCCAGGAAGCTCGGCAGCGCCGCGCGGCAGTGGCCGGACGGGCGGGCCACACCGCCAGGCCTCTCAACGAAAGGGCGCGCGCCCCAGGTGGAGGGGGAGGCAAAGAAACCTCTATTGTTTCAATATTCCGCGAAACCTCAAGAGGTAGTACGTGCACACACACACACACACGTATATATGAATAGATGTATCTATGCATAGATATATAGATGAATACATATATATATATATAGGAAGTGTGAGAGTGAGATCGCAATGAGACGGAGACCCCCAAACGGAAAATCGTT